TATTATATATTTTTATCAAGTTTTCCATCTATACTCTCCATTTAAGATATTTTCATATGATCTACATTTAATAATACACAACAGAAAGTTGTGTGTGTATATATCCCTAACATGGATCTTTTATTAAGATTAAGGTATTTAATATCCGCTGCATTTCCTTTAATTTTTCAATCTGAGATGTTGTAGTTTAAAAGTGTTTCTCTTTTACTGTCCATTTAGATTTTTATACTAGTGTTATTGCTTATATATAAGTATGCTTTCTTTGATAGTAATTATAGATTTTCATTTATTTTTTCCCTTTAATAAACAACAATGTGCTTAAGGGTGTGTTCCACCCTTCTACAGTACTAAAGATGGACTGTAAAACTTTGGAGGACTTTAATAATGTCATGACGTTATGAGGTCGGACATAACGGCATTACGTTGAGTGACGGAATACGTAATACGGAAATGATGTGATACGACCGTACGAACCCGGAAATGAAATTAAAATACAAGCTGGAAAGACCGAACCCGGATATAAAAAGAAGACGTGAACAGACCGGGACTATGCACTTGATGAAGACATGCTAGAGTCGAAATGAATTGTGCTATTTTTGTTTTATTCAAATTGATTTTATTTGCGGTTATATTTTCTGCACTGTATGCCCAAATAAAGAGCTTTGTACTTAAAGTTTGGAAGCTATGTTCTTGGGAGAGAGCAGATCCAGTGAGCAGCAATCTGGAGGTTTCATATATTGAAAGTCTGAGCCTGCTAGTAATAGGCTCAGCAACGTGTGGGTTTGATCAATTGGTACTTTTAAATGCTGTATTCTGTAACACATTACGCTATGATGATTTGTACTGTATGTTTTATTACAGATTTTTAACAGCTATTATTTACCATTTAAGTTCCTACAGTGGTAGTATTTTACCATTTTTTTGTGTGTTTCCTCTCACCTAACTTTATTACTAGAACTGTCAATTGACTGTGGTTCTATAAGTTCATTTCAGAACTTCATTATACAGCAAAACGTATTTGTTGTGCTGGATCTGTCCTTGTTCTAACACTTGACAAGAGAGCTCACTTTTACATTTAAAATTTGTACTTGGTTATTATAATCATATAGAGTTTTTATTTTGCAGTAGTTATGTGTATACAGTAATTGGAGTTCTATTGTCCTAATAATGTTGGGTATCATCTCCAATACCTTACATTAAAGGGACACTGTAGGCACTAAGACCACTTCGGCTAATTGAAGTAGTCTGGGTGCTGTGACCCTTTTGCACTTAGTGCTGCAGCATCAGATTTTCCCCATAGGAAAGCATTGAATAATGCTTTACTATGGGGAAGTCTAATGCACGCACAGCCATTGCCACGCATGCGAGCTTTGGGCGGAGCCTGACCCAGTTTTAACCCCTTCAGTCCTGCAGGAGTGGGACACCAACGGGGTCCTATTAACCCTATAGTGCAAGCAAAATGACTTTTCCTGGCACTATAGAGTCCCTTTAATATTCCTTTTTTTTTTTGGTCTGGACACAATTAAAATTTTACATAATTTGTGTTTCTCTGTGCTGCTCATTAGCCCTCATGGTTCTAATAAGGGGCACTTTATTAGAATGTTGGGGGGTCATTTTTTACAACAGTGAGCTCACTATTTAGTAGACATGCCCCTACTTGTGGTATAGCGAGTAGGGGCAGAAGGGAGATTTTAATCTCCCTTCATCACTAATACGAAGTAATCTTTACTTAGTATTAGTTAATTTGGCTGAAAGCCTTTTAGTAGATAGCTCCCTAATACCATGACAATTAGGGAGCTATCTACTCGCAGCACGAATAGGATCGAATGAAATTCTGATCCGAACAAAAATTCCTGAATTGCGTCCTAACACAAATGAAAGTACATGTAATAATAGAACCAAATGTAAGGATCTATAAGTGAAAAGCTGCCACTCTATAGGCACACTTCAATGAAGCCTATGAAAACAAATATAAACAGAAAATGAGTATATACCCACCAAATGAGGGCGCTAGACACTAAAGAAACAGTGCTATAGATGAAGTAAAGTAAGATAAAAATATCAAGATTTTATTTTATAACAACAGAATATAAAATATAAAACTATATTAAGAGATCAAATGAAAAAGTTATACAACAGCATAAGGCAGTACTATTACAAGACCAGGGAACAAATGCCTGGCCCCAACGACTCGACCGACAAGTAGATAGAGAGCAACACAGCCCTAGGTCGCAACTCCCAGGGCCGAAAGATACTTGCAGCTGTAACGGTGATGGTGGTAGTGAGGTCTCTGGACTGCTAGACGGATGGCTCTACGTGTTTTGTTCCACGTTATTCGGGACTTCCTCAGGAGCTGTGGGTGATCTGCCTGTTCTTCCGGCATCTCTTCTTTTATCTTCTGATTTTCGCGCCCAATCTAGCTGTGACGCATGCGCACATGGACATCAAATTCCATCCAGTCAGGTGTAGGAACACACACCTGTCCCGCACTAACTACTATCGGGAAATTCCAGTGCGCATGCGTGGCTTGGTTGATACGCATAATTACAATTACATTTTTGCATAATTTGTGTTTCTCTCTGCTGCTCATTAGCCCTCACGGTTCTACTAAGGGGCACTTTATTAGAATGTTGGGGGGTCATTTTTTACAACAGTGAGCTCACTATTTAATAGACATGCCCCTACTTGTGGTATAGCGCGTAGGGGCAAAATGGTTTAACTTCTTACCTTGTGTCTGGCAGACCATGTTTCCCACCTCCTCTCAGCAGCCACCAAAGCCATAAAACAGCATTATTCCAGTAGCTCTCCTGAGCTCCAGTACAAGGACAGCTCACTGGCTCATAACTTCAGCTGATCATGGTTTGGCTACTTATAATTAGTAGAGGTAAAAGAACAGTGTGCTGTAGTGTTTATACATTGGTGGCATTGCCTTTATCTTTGCTCTTTCTGAAGACATATACAATAAATCACGAAAAGGGTATAAAAGGTGCAGATTCCCATTACCACAGAAATAGTTTTGCATTTATTATTTATATCTTGTTGACTGAAAATAATATTACAAAAAAATATATTTCAAGTGAGAAGCCTCTTCATGGTCTATGATGAATATTAGTGAAGAAACTAAACTCAAATCAATCTAATAAAAAAATGATACCAAATTACATTTTATTAGGGACCCTCATGATTATTATATGCCCACAAGAATAAAATTATGAAATACAACTATTATCTATATCCTTTTTTATTATCTTACATACTGCCCTTAAACCAACTTGATATCCTTTTTTACTTGTTTATGTTCCATTGAATAACCTATTTTTCAGGTAAAGCTTAACTTAGCTGTGGTGCAGTTTGAAAATATAAATGTGTATTTTATTATGAGTACATGGGATCTTTTATAGCATTATATGTTGTCTGCATTAGTGTGACTTTTTTTTGACAATCTTTATTTTCATTTTCATGGAAGTATACAACATTGTTGAAACAGGTACTTCAAAGTTAACATTTTAACATGAACTTCATAATACGTTGAACAGCGTGTAACTGGTTCATTTTAACAGCTGTGAACCGTGTGTCTTGTTAGATAACTGGTTTCTGGTCAGGTTTTATGTTTACCATTTTTGTGGGTATGGTAGAGTGGGTTAGTTCAGTTCATGTAAGAAGCCCTAGGGGGCTGAGGTTCAGGTCATGTCCTAGACATTTTATCCCTGCGGGTGCCTGCGACTGTTGTACGGGTCGGTCGGATTGTGCGCTTTTGTCATGGCTAATGCTGGCTTTGTGTAACGCCGTGTTCAGGCGTACTGTCTAGTGAGTTGAGTGAGTTCTGTAGAGTGGGCTGAGCATTTTGGTGCTACCTGTATGAGGGGGCTAGTCCCAGATCCCATCCACATCTTTTTTCCCCTTGTCTCTTCACAGTCCCGTGTTGTGCATACTTTGGCTTTCTAAAGGCTCAGTTTCATGGTCATACTCTGCTAACGGAGTCTTAAGTGTCATTCATATGTCTTGGTTACATAGTATGGCGTTATATTGTCTGCCCATTCTGGGACTCCGTCGGTCTGATCTTTACTAGTTCGTCTGGGCTGTCATTCTATGTTGTTTCGGGATGCTTTAGTCGTGGATAGTTCCGTCCGGTGTCTGGAGTGGTTGGGGGAAGGGGTGGGTTTGGGTGTGGGGAGGCTGGGA